TCTTAGCTCAAGTAGATACAAGAGACTAAACAGGCAGCTTCTGTCTGGAGGTGAGATGGGAAGGCAGAGAGGATTAGAAGCTTGTTGAATGGACATGGGGAATCAGAGGTGGAAAGGAGGAGTGTGCTGCCACAGTATGGGGAGAGCAATTAGGGTCACATAACTATGTATAAATTTTTGTATGGGAAAAATTTTTTTAAAAATCTGTTGACTGACTTATCAATGAATGAATAATCAGGCAAAGCAAGATGAGATCCAAAATATATAATAAAACCAACAACTCACTTACCCAGATATCTTTGGCTAGACAGTTAGATAAGACTATATAAAATTCCCTTCAGAACAACTGCTTTAATTGACCCTACAGCGCCCTACAAGCTACCCTACCTGAGAAGGGTCGCAGAGTTAACAAAGTAGCTGACAGTACCTATCAGAAATAGGCCCCTGAGGAAATGGAACATGAAATAGGCAAATTCAAATGAAACTTTAATAGTAGGAAAGTTGAGAGCATGAGATATTGGCTCAAATGGGACATTCAGAAAGCCATTCTGGCAACTATATGGCAACACGAAGCCTAAAGGCAAAAAGGGTAAAACCTACCTACAACCTTTCCAAGGAATGCCAATGCTTACAACACAGCAAGAACAATCTTTTTTCTTTCAGGAGAAAAAGAAATGAAGATATTAAAAGTTATTATTGGCACAGAAAAAAAAAATGGGCCAAGAAAGTCAATTATAGTAGTAATAAAAAGCTCCTGAACATAAAACTAGAATAACATGATGAAATAAGAAAAAACCTTTACCTTTCCCCTACGCCCATTTCCACCATCTTGATCTTCCCATTGCCAGTCTACTCCTCGTACCACTCTGGCACCTGCAAAGATTCCTCTGGCTGTAATCTTCTTAGATTTTCTACGGGATTCTAACAAAACCCTAAAAATAGAATTATTTATTTTCAAGTTTATATTAAAATAGGTTTAACATAATTTATTTTTTTAAGTAAGACTATAAAGAGAGTTATTTTGAAAATAGAAAATATTTTTCTTTGCTCTGGTTAATAACATAATAGCATGATACAAAAATACCTTTTACATTCCACAGGTGATGATGATGGCAGTAATAGTGATAATAATAATACTGTTAGCAGTAGTAGTAGCTAATATGTACTACGCTTTTACTATATTGTAAAAGCACTGATACAGGTGTTAAGTGTGTTATGCTTCTTATGAGAAAGATACATTATATCATCCATTTTATAGATGAGGTCACTGAGTCTCAAAGAGGTTAAGTAATTTTTGCCCAAGGTCAAAAAAGTTAAGAAGTAATGGCGTCAACAACTGAACCTGATTTAACCACTTCAGGGTATCACTATGGTACAGACAGTTAAATAAATGCTTAGCTGCTAATTGAAGGGTTGGTGGTTTGAACTCACCCCAGAGACTCCTTAGGAAACAGGCCTGGTGAACTGCTTCCAAGAAGTCACAGCCTGGAAAACCCTACTCTACACACATGGGGTTGCCATGAGTCAGAACTGACTTGATGCAACAACATAGTCTTCACTACTTTAAAAGTGACAAACTCCAATCCTCCCAGCTACCAGGCAAGTAATATAAATGAGTTATTTCAATATAAATGAAAGAGCACCTAGGAAATATACCACTACAGCAATGACAAATGACAAGTGGCACTCGACCTCAGGGTTAGGAAGACAACAGGGAGTGGCAGGGACTTTAGTGAACTGGAGAGCATGATCTGCCTAAAGGGTGAAGGTGCTCCTCTGCTTCAGCCAGCTGTTGCCATGAACAAATGCAGGCCCAGTGATGACAGTCTTCTAATTTGTGTGTTTCATTTTAAGAATCCATAAGCCTAGATTTTTGTGTGACATCACCCAACTTCAAAAATTTAGAACACTACGTGTGCCCAGTAAAATACATTTCTGGCCTGATATGACCTACACCAAATTGTCTCCAAAGTTTACTTACAGAAGATTACATACTTGCAGAAGATTATGGACCTTGAAAAAAAATTCTACAATGAATTAACTGGGCCAGCTTCGTTCTCCAGGGCCACCTACCCCTTATTCTTCTACATCCTTCTGATTCGTATAATCAGAAAAGTTTTCTGCTTGTTTGTGTTATTTTATTCATTTTTCTAATTTAACTCACTGTTCTATTCATTGTTATTGTCTTCATTATATCCCAACCTTAAAAACCGTAATACAAAGCACAAAACCACTCAGTTAATAAATGGCAGGGCCAGGCCCGGGATAGTCTGACTCCAAACTCCGTTCTTTCTACTATTCCATATGCCTCCCTATGACTGGCTAGATTCCTGCTTCTACGCATTATCCATATCTACATGAGGAGACTCCATCACCTGAAACTCTGTATCCATTAACAATTAATATTCCTCTCTCTTTGCTCCTAAGACACTTAATGCATATGTCTACCACAGTTCAAAATATCACATTATAATCATTGTTGATCCATTATTTTCCTCAACTTGTAAACTCTAAGAATACTGTGAGTCTTATTTATATTTGAATCTGCAGAAAAGTGTACTAGTTGCCACACAGTCTTAATAAATGCCTGTTGACTCAAGCAATGGACCCTAGTGTTCATTTGGTAGCAAGTAACAGAATAGACAGCACAGTGAGAAGAAAACAGTGTCTCTTCTACTGCCCTTGCATTTGCAAACATTGAGGAGTGTCAAGTCTCAATGCTACAGAAAGAACAGCCCAGTCTATCTGGAAAAAATACATACAGGTCTACCTTCACAGAGCTCTTCTCTCACTATATGGCAGGCCTGGTCCACCTCTAGACTGCCATCTGCCAACTCCTGGTAGTAAGCCAGCTATCAGAATCTATTTCCTAATGCTATTTTTAAAGCTAAGTAGTATAAAAGTTGAAAACAAACAAGGAATCTAGATTGAAGAAAAAACTGTTTCCCTTACCGCTCACTTCCAGGTGTAGTAATTCTATAAAAGCGATGTCTTAAATGATGTTTATCTCCATGATAACAAACTGTGCACAAATCATAATTTGTACATTCCGCACATTTCCATCGAATGCCAATGATAGGTTGTTGGCGGCAGGTATCACACATGGTTCCATCGTGTTTGATGCCTATTAAAACAAGTATACATGCTTAGATTAATTATTAGCATTATAATTTAATAGAATATTGTTCTGTTCCCCGGGGAAAAGATAAGAATGGAGCATTTTACAAGATATTTTAATAAAGTGGAAGATAACATTTCAAACATACCATGTATCAAAACCCATACCCGTTGCTGTCAAGTCGATTCCGGCTCATAGCAACCCTATAGGACAGAGGAGAACTGCCCCATAAGGTTTCCAAGGAGCAGCTGGTGGATTCAAACTGCTGACCTTTTGGTTAGCGGCACAGTTCCTTAACAGTTGCACCACCAGGGCTCCATACCATGTATAGTTTCATTATAACAGATCTCAAATGTTTTAATCAATACAACTTATAAACTAAATATTTTCTCTCTCTTCCCTTTTCGTTAGTAAGAACACTGGTCTTCTTGGCAGCATTTTCTTTGCTCTCATCCACATACTGAAACTTAGGTTCAATCCATGGAAAGAAATTAGAATCCTTTACCACCAAGTACATGCTTCAGACTTCAAAAACTCAGAAATCTTTAGAGAATTTTCCATCTACTCTCCAGGTAAACAATTACTCCAAAAGCAAAGACAATTTTGTCTTCATGATACTATGGAAACAAACTATCAATTAACTTAAGCATTGACCCACCCCTGAGTATTGACAACTTTTTTCCAAAAAGAATAAACCTTAAAACTATTAGCAGGCAAGTATCCCAGTTTGAAGAGATATATACTGTACTTGAGCTTTTTCCCCCCACACTTAAAGGAAAAAAAAGGTAATAAACTCTAAAAAGGAGATGAGCACTTGGTAGAATGGCCCCCACCATAAATGTTCACATGGATGAATGCGACAGACAAACTATAAAATGCACCACTATAATGAAAATAACTGACATTTTAGAGCATTAGGATTGGAGCAATGCTCCTTTACTAACCTGTTACAATATCACTAGTTCAATAAATTTAAAAATAGGATTTTTTTTAAAATAATGTGTGGCTTATGAATATCAGTGTCATTACTTTAGGGACACATCCTATACGGGCAGCCTGAGTGTTCAACTACCCAAAAAAAACCAAACCCGTTGCTGTCGAGTCAATTCCGACCATAGTGACCCTATAGGACAGAGTAGAACTGTCCCATAGGGTTTCCAAGGAGCACCTGGTGGATTCGAACTGCCGACCTTTTGGTTAGCAGCCATAGCTCTTAACCACTATGCCACCATGGTTTCCCACGCTGAACTACCAGCAAGGGCTACACTGTAAGTACAATAATAAGACTCTCCTGAATTCAAGTTCTAACTTTGTGTCCTTGAAAAAAGTCATTTTAGCTGAAGAGTTTACATATAAAATAATGGTACTTGTAGAGGGGAAGTAAAGTGAGATTTAGATGAACAAGACCAGCCATGTTCAAGTTAGATAATGGTTGCATGAGAGCTCATTAGATTATTCTCTATTTTGTATAAGTTTAGAAATTTTCTATAATTAAATTTTTAAAAGGAGTCATTTTAGTTCTCAGGACCTCAGTTTCCTTTGCAGGAGGCAATACGTTCTTTAAAGGTGAGAGATGTTCTAAGAATCAAATAAGAATGTGCTGTATAAGCAAGAACTAGAGTACAAAAGTAGGAGTATTATTACTAAACTCTACAAGAATTAATACACTATTGCTACTTCCTAATAAGGGAAAAATCCTATATTATTCATTTTCTATATCCAGTTTAAAACCTCTATGAGTAAAGTTAACCAAATTCTCAACAAAGGGCCAAGCTTGAGGATAAGCCTGTGTTTTAGCTGAGAAGATGAAGGGGAAAAACAAAGGAAGGAAGGAGAGAAGTAGGGAGGGGAGGGAGGAAGGGAAACTAGGATGCCTAGTGTGCCTACTGGATTACACAACAGCATAACACCACACACCAAAGAAGTTTTGTGTGCACTCCTTCTGCATCTCCTGCATCTCCTCCCACAAGACAAGTAACGTTGAGTGTAGGGGCATAGGAGATGGCAGTCAACAGTGTCTACTGACTCATTCAGTAACTATTTCTCTACTCCTACTGTGGGCAAGCGTTCTGGTGCTTTCAATACCACTCTTGTTGTAATGTAACAAACAGGAAGAAACTAAAAGTAGCCAGAGAAAGGAAGTCAAGCTACAAGAAGCTTACTTTATGAGGCAGTCAAGGGGAGATAATGGAAGTTTAGATTAGGGTGATGATGGTAGAAATGAAAAGCAACAGAGGCGGGAGATACTTAGGACTTGGTGGCTATGGATTAGAAAATAAAAGATGTAGGAAAAGTTTTTAAGAGTAAATGAGATCACTCAAGACAAAACAGATAGCATTATAGATATTTTGGAATAGGCAATTAATTAAACAGCACAACAAACATTTGAAATCTAGGACTGCTCTGCTTAAAAACAGAGAAAGGGAGCCACCAACAAAAAATAAACAAGCACACACTAATTAGGAAATGCAAGTCCAGTTCTCCATTGATAGAAAGGAACTCACCTAAGAAACTAAATCAAAAAAAGCATCAGGAAAAGTTTCATAGAAATGGTAGAGGAGGAGACCTTTCAAAGGAAGAAAGAAGAAATTTCAGAAGAGCACAGTGTGTTCAATGAACCAGGAGCAACAATTTTGTTTGGCAGGAACATGAAAAACAGAAATAAATTATATATAGAGTCAGGCTGGGAAATGACAAGATCAGACATGATTTCGGACCTGTACACTTAAATCACTACACAAAATGGAAAAACAAGGGTATGTGATTTAAGAAACAAGTTCTATAATTTACTAGCTAGGTAGTACTCAGAATTTAATTACTTAAAATTACTGTGGGTCCCAATATTCTCATCTATAAATTGAGAAAATACTTTCTTTCATATGGAAAAAGATGTGAGGCTAAAGTGATATAACAGGTGAACACACTTTGAAAGGCTTTAAAGCAAAATGCAAATATAACAAATTATACTGCACTTAATTTAATTTTAATATAATTTATTAAATGAACTAGTCATCTATTTAAATAATTTAGTGATCAAAATCATGACATATTCCGGGCAAATTCTACAATACATACGCAGAAACCAAAGAACTCAATAAATTTCTCAGAGACTACATTTACCCCATTGCCATCAAGCTGATTCCAACTCATACCTACCCTACAGGGAACATTCAATTATTCACATGTGGATTATCCCTACTTTTACCTTCTCCATGGCCATTTTCTTATTAATACTGTATGTCAGGTTACTCCCCAAAGCTAATGCCTTCCCAGGGGCTATACTTATCTTCTCACTCCCTTTCAGTTGCCTTCACCCCAGGATAGCAACAATGGACACAACTGCCAGGAGAGAGAGAGAGAGCACTACTTTTCATCAGGTGATAATGATGCTTTCTGTCCTAACGCTAATCAAGTTGTTAGCAGCCATCAGGTCAGCCCCCAACTCACGAGGACCCTGTGCACAATGGAAGAAATGCTGCCCAGTCCCTTGTGATCCATATGGTTTTCACTGGCTGATTTTTCAGAAGCAGACGGCAGGCCTTTCTTCTTTGTCTTAGTCTGGAAACTCCACTAAAACCTGTTCATTATCATAGCAACACACAAGCTGGTTACTGGGCAAGAGATGCATTGGCCAGGAATAAAAGCCAGGTCTCCCGCATGCAATGGGAGAATTCTACCACTGAAGCACCGATGCCTCAACGAAAGAAATTGTACTCTAGTCTAAACAGAAAGTAAACTGAAATTAAAAACCACCGAACTATGACTACACAACTCAAAGCTACCAACACTGACTGGCATTACATGCTTTAGTCTTTCGGAACATCCATTAAAGGGCTGTATGCAATCTCCATCTGTTCTTCCTTTCCTTAGCAACTCTTTTTGGTTATGTAAATAAATACAAAGAAAAAGTTTTTGTGGGTTTTTTTTTCCTTCTTTAATCACACAAGGACAAAAAAGTTAAGATACCCAAATAATCAATAAACAAGTTAATCATCCCTTGGGTTATTAAGAATTTGCTATATTTAGCATTAAATCATTATATAATAAATTCCATATAGTGTCCATTTTGGAAAAATAATTCTGTATTTCCAGTCTCCCAACACAAATACCAAAGTATACAAAGTGAAAAATTATCCTAGCTCACAAAGATAATTATTTTAGGTAAATTCTAAAACCTATCAACAGATCAAGAACTGTCAGTCTAAGATTTTCATAAAACTGCAACTTTTTAAGAGAAATGCCAAGAATCACAATTCATTTTATATCAGTTTTTTTTTAATTCATAGATTTTAATACTGAAATACACATGCATTTTGCTTTATATATGCTTTATATACCAGTTATGTTCCTGGAAAAACTGAATGTATATTCAAAGTGGAGGAGAGGTGTGCCAAATTGTATTTCCCAATGACGGCCTGTAAAACAACAGTAGTAGGAGTAGTGTTAGAACCTGTGTAACTGCTGGAGGGATAATGTGAAACAAGATCTGGCCAAGGCTGATGTCTATGAGGTGGAGGTCAGACATACCTCCACTCTCCAACATTTTTACCAATTCTGACACCAGCAGTCCCTCTCATGGCACTCTCTACTTCTCTTCTGGGTTTGATAATTCGTTGCAATGGCCATACAGAACTCACAGACCATAGTTACAGTTAAGTGGTTTATTAAGGAAGTAACAAGGGACGACTCAGGATCAGCATCAGCAGACTACAACTCAAGATCAGATTCAGGAAGCATGTAGGCAAAGTCTCTCTTCTTCAGTGCAGGACCACTCTCTCAGCTCCTCTCGGCCTCCAGAGGACAGGTTCCTCTCGGCCCCGAGGGCAGGCTCCTCTTAGCCCTGTCACCTATCATCACTGACTCTGCTGCAGGGCCCCTTCCAGGCCTGTCACAGACTCTGCCACTGGACACCTTCTGGGCCTCTTGTTGTCTTCAGTGTTACAGCTCTGACCCTTGTTACTGCTCTTTTAGGAGGTTTCTTGCCTCCTCTCTCTGCTTCTTCTCTC